GTTAGGGAAAAAAGGTCAGAATTTATTTGTGTGCCGGGATTGCCGAAGCATCCTCTGATTTTTTGATTTGACTGAAAAGCTGGAATGAGACACCGGGTCCCCGGATGATACACACAACGCCTCGCGTCCGTTTCAGCTCTAAAGAAATCTGTTTCCCCTTTCGCTTTCGGGTCCGGCCGGGTATTTTCGGCCAGCGGATCTGAGCGTCCGGCAAGCTTAAGGAAGTCGCCGCAGGATGCCGAATATCAAATTATGAGCGATGAATGAATAATTGAACAAGACCCATAAATGAAACATTTAGGGGAAGAGTTACAGCTGAAACAGCATGCAGCACAAACACGGAGGGCAGGGGCGGGGGCCGGGGTGGGTGGGCCGGGGCTGGCGGGCCGGTACCCGCTTGGGCCATCCTTTGCCATGGCCAGTCTGTGGTGGTGGATGCCCGGTGATGGCGAGTAACATGACCAAGGGACCACACTTGACTGGGGGGGGGGGTGTTGGTAGACGGCCCTGTTGCGATTTGCCGCTGGCTGACGGGCGAGCTTCCGTAGCCGTAGGCGAGAGCGAGAGGCGGAGGGAAATTGAGGAGCGCGTAGCATTATTTAGCGACGAAGGTATCATTTATTCATCATGTATGTTTTCTTCCTTCCGGGCTTCGCAGTGCCATCTGCTGTATAGAGCAATATTAAATCAGGAGGGGACAGGGAGCATGCATACAGAGAGGACTGATTTTCTCTTGTTCTTCTTACAGATGGCACTACACTGTAATTTCTGTAGACATATCTGAAGACGTACTCTGCGTTTTTTTTTTCTTTTTTAGCTTTTTTTTTTTTTTTAACCAGAGAACAGCGTCATGAATTTATGTCATGGTGTACTTAATAAAATCAAGCAATACTGAGATGATGATAAAATAATAAGGTTTTTTTTTTCCGGGTGGTGGGGGTTGGGCTAGAGGTGTGGCCTGGTTTGCCATTGTGCAGCCGTGGGTAATTGAATCAGGTAATGTAAGCGAGTGGAGGAACATCTGAAATCGTTTAGAGCTGCTCTCCCTCGTAGCGGGCGGATGGATCTTCATCGCGGAACACGCCCAAGTGGCGGCGCCAGTGCAAGCAGCCATGCTGCCACCATTCGGGCATCCGTCTGCCCGAACGGCAGTAGTACGAAACCAGAATCCAGATCCGTGCCGGGAAAGCCTTCAGAATGAACGGCTCATCGGAAATACGGGGGGGGGGGCGAAGGCGGCCCGTTCACTGGGACCTTAATTAATTTGTACGCCGCACAATGTGGACAGATTGCTTACAATAGGATGGCAGGATGAGTGGGGGGGGGCAACCGTCAGACATTAGAGGAATGTTATGCTGCATTATAAATGAAGTTGTCAGAAGAGATCTGCATTGATCATGGCCTTCATGAATTACAATCCCAGTTAATGTACACGCTGGGGCTGTGGGGGGGTGGTGGGGGGGGGAGACAATGAGGCAGAAAAAGAAGACTGCTACAAGTGTTGAGAGTCTGGCGCACTTCGTCAGCCTGTCCATCAGGTGGTGCTGTACCAAAAGGCAGGCTGAGCAAAACATGAATGGCGCCTCCCTGCCAAACGAAGCGTGGAGTAGCCAAAGAGCCGGTATGCATCACGGTTATACCGTATCCGACATCCCAGTGCCCCACCAGGGAGCTATTTAAAGCCCCTAAATTATTTTGTTTACAAAAATCAGGAGTGCAGATATCCACAGCACAGCCTAACGTGACGTCAGACTGCAAGAAGGGCATCTGAGTACGAGGGCCTACCCTGATGTTCTGGCTTTGACCATAACTCCATTTAGGTTTAAGTTAAGTTAAGTTTAAGTGATGTGGCACTATCCTATAAGATATTGAAAAAAGGATACACAGCATAGACAAGATGAGAGCGAAAAAGTCTGTAAGCTCAGTTGTTTCCAGGGGATGTGACCAGTGCTCGCAGTGAGAGTTAGTAAATTGGTGGGTATGCAGCCTTGTGAAAGACACGCACGTACACACAGATTGTGTAAGCCAACAAGGCGGTCACATTCTCCCAGTGATTGTAGAGCTTCTCCCTCGCTGAGAATACCAGGCCTGCTTTGCTCTCCGTGCACTCCCCTCGGTACGGTGACACAGATCTGGGCTATGAATGTGTTTGCCAAACTTATCTGGGAAGAGGGAAGGCCAGAGAGAGAGAGAGAGAGAGTCCCAGGAAGACACAGCACGTGACGGTGAAGGGCTGGCCTTGTGTGCCAGCACGCCGTAGCTAGGTTGAGCTCCCCTCCCCGATCCGACTCCCCTCGACCCACTCTCTGCTCCGTTTACCGCCTGAGTAATGAGGCGATGTGGATGCTGAGTCTGAGTCTGTAAGGCTGAAGAGGCTGAAACATTCGCTGATTTCGGGATGCCAAGCGAGCCAAGAGTCACAGACACCAGTCAGACAAAAACAAGTTCATCTCAGACATCACTCCCAGTTAAAGGCGTCTCATTTTTGGAGTTCATCTCATTTTATTCTTTTTTTTTTCTTCTAAATCTATAATGAAGTTTACATGATCTGAATACTGACAGTGTCACCGTACTGTAAAATTTGTATCATATTTTAAAACATGAAACAAGACAAATAGTTGTGTTTTTTGCCGTAAACTGTTGAGATGTGTTTAGTTACATTGAACCCTGTTTGCAAACACTACAGTTTTCAGACCAACAGCGCTACAAGAAAAACAGCGAAGTTAAGTACAAGCTTATCCATTTTGGTAATCGTGAGTAATTCATTACTCACAGACCTGGAATGCAAACTGTTGTAAGACTTGCGGTATAGAAGAAAAAAAAGATCTTGGAACATACATTAATCTTCTGGACAAAGACAACTGATATTTGAGAAAGCTTTTTATTCCAAAGAATTTCTGTGTAAATTCACCCATTGTGAGGCCCCTCTGTTGTTTATGTGAGGCTTGAATCAACGCGTTTGTCACGTGTCTCTGTGTTAAAAAAAACAGCTTAGCAGTCATGAAAGTGATAATGCATGGAAAAAAGAAAACAGTGCTATTGGGTTTGCTGGGTTTGCTATTGTGGTTTCTGTTGTGGGCAGAAAAATCAAGCAGAACAAACATCACACTTCCACAGTATACCTGGTTTCTAGAAATAAGTTTAAAGTAAATAAACGTTTGTTTGAATTATTTTGATACACATATATGTCTTGCTTTTGTTTTGTATCTTTTTAATTTTACATGTTAATTCTCTATAAAAAAGTAAGTGCTTAACCAACCTGCATGGTTAAAAACTAGCCGGTGTAATACTGTTTGGAAATACTCAAGCTTGCACTTATGCTCCTTCACAAAGTTTGCTGATGTTACCACTGCAACAGATGAAATCAGGACCGACAGCAGCACGGATCTCTTTACAAAGCCATCAGAACACACCTATCACCGATCTGAGCATTTTGCAGAATTTAAACCAAACGAAAGGGGATATATTCCAGTAACTTGAGTGAAGCCATGTTCTCTGCATACCCTTTATAAGCATCAGTAGAAGCAACTGACACAACTGAGCCTGGAAACCAGTGTAGGAATTAATCTTCCAGTACAATTTGCCCAGTTTGAGGCTAGCTTCATCCACGCCAGGCTCATCTTAGCAGCTGGGCGTCATGGAGAGTTTTGCTCGAGTGTCAAAATGTGATCTGGACAAGAAGATCCATGAGTTTTAGGCCGTGGTGGAAGATAATGGGTGCCCTCACAGCGAAAAGCCATCATTCAAGAATAATTTGAATATCTGAGAAGCAGTAGGGATTGGCAGGGATAGGGGACATTCTCAGTCTGTGTAACCATGTAGCTCACTGATTTGGCTGGTGTGACTGCCAGGAGAGATTCCCATTGGAGGCCAAGCCAAGCAAGGTCAGTATGTTTTTCCACTCCACAGTAATGCCGTGGCGCATTGGATATGTGATTAGTATTGTTGTGGATTGGCCTTCTTGGCTGTGGAACAGTGTATGCTTTGATTGTTGCGCTGTGTTCAACTTTGCATAGTACCAAACCGACACCGTAATTTCCCATTTGGGTTATAATGCGGTAAATTCCGTTTTATTTACGCTTAACCTTTGCTGATAACTGGCCATTTCCTCTAGATGTATGCTCCATGTGTGCACTGGTTATGCGTCAACAATCACGCTGCTCAGAAAGTCATGAGCGGAAGATTTAATCTTTGTGCTTGAGATCCACGGAAAAGAAGCGACGCCTTTAGCTGGACTCGTCAACACCGAGCCGTGCCTGGCAGTTTCCGAGCTCGGGGATCCGCTGCCTTTGCGCGTTCGGCGAACGCCATAGGCTTTTTTTCCGCCGGCGCGAGGAGCGGCTTAACGATGGGTGGATGAACAGATACCGGTTCATGGAGAGAGAGAGAGAAGGAGGGGGGGGAGAAAGGGAGGTCGTGTGCCATAAACGTGCTACCATGCTTGTGCTGACACACGCAGTCCTTTCATTTGGCAGACACACGCTTTAATAAAGCGAGCCTGAGATCTTATCAGTGCAGTACAAGGAAAAATATTTTTTTTGCAGTGAGGTGGATGGCGTATTCTTTTGATGTGCGTTAATACCGCTGCTTGATTCAAACGACGATATCATTTCCAATTCCGTGCTTTTCCACCAAATAGAGGCGCCTTAACGGTTCTAAACCGAAGTTATGGAAACCTTCCGCCCCAATGTATTGTACTTGTTAAATGGCACTGAAGTGTTGCACGCCACAATGAAAGATCAAACAAAATAAGTTGTGTATGCATGTATTTCCTTTGCAGGCACCTCTTTCACTGACGAGTATGGGGGCCATACATTCTCAAATTGATTTGGTTTCTCATCAAACAGCTTCATCCCGCGTGACTCACAGCTGTACATTTACACAGCTGTACATTTACTGAAGCAGTTCAGTTCATGTTTACTCAAGGGTGCAGTTGTTGAATCTGCACCACCGATTGTGTTAAATCTTCATGTCCGGGCCGTTACCCTTTGTTCCCGCAGCGCCCAACCTAAAAGGCCGACCTCGGAAGAAGAAACCTTCCATCTCCCAACGCCGTGACTCCCAGGGTCAAAACACAGGCAAGGAGACCAGCAGCACTGAGCCCAAGGCTTCTGCCAAGGTACGCAGTTCATTTGCACTCCATTTCCCAGCATGCCTTTCCAAAAAGCCCCCTTTGGCACGGGGACAGTTTTCATTGGCGTCAGCAGCATTTAATCATTGTTGCCCTGCTGATCAAAACTGGTTTTTCTCGTTATTTGTAATATTTCTTTTGTCCGCCCCCCCCACCGATGTCATACTGAACCTAACCAACTCAGACACTGTATAGAACATTTTACAGTGCAGTTTACACATTTCTGTGATAAAGTTCATCTCTCCTCACTGGCGTGTTCTGCTGTCGCAGTCGAGATCTGACTAAGCTCGAATATTATAAAATGAAAGTCTTTCGACTTCGAAGTCTCTCTCTTGAAATTACACGGGTAGTTTTACAGGCCAGTTTACATTTCGTTAAGAGCAATAACTAATAGCATATTAACAGTAGAAGCAGTTATATTCAAAGAAATCACTGTTTTTCTCGTGATAACATGAGGAGATAATAATGGTTTCGTAGTAAAATAGTGTAAAGGATTGTTGAGGAAGCAGACATTTGAGTCAGCATGTCAACCAGTATGTTCAGGGGCACATTAACATGGTCAGAGGCCCCCCTATGACAGAGGGATGGGGGGCCGGCAGGGGGGGTGCACTTTTTGAGGCCCCTAGGCTGTACAGTGGGTAGCCAGTGCAGTAACACGCCCCTGCGCATGTTTATTTGTTCATTTACCTGTTTTGCATACCCTCCTGGCCATCATGGGTCCGTTTAAGAAAACAAAAACGAGACGTCGCTCGTTACCTTGAGCAGATGGATAAACAGACGCGCGTTGGCCGCCGCTGTGTGATGTCACAGCGCGGGCGTTAATCCCCCGCCATTCTGCGCGCCCCGGCGCTGGCCAGTCCTTCCGCAGACTCTCAGGTCGGTAAACCTGGTCTCCGCCCCACCCCCCCAGGTAAAAAGTGACTCTAAGGCCGTGGCGGCCCGGCCCAAGAACAGCTGTAAAAAGGCGGCGTCCGAAGAGACGCCGGGAGTGACGGCAGGTGAGGAATGCCGGGCTGAGGAGCAGGCCTTCCTGGTGGCACTCTACAAATACATGAAAGAGAGAAAAACACCCATTGAGAGGATTCCCTACCTTGGCTTCAAGCAGAGTGAGTAAGACCGCCTACCAATCCCCCCTGAACACCCCCACCCCACCCCACCTCACCAGCTGGGAAAGGCCTGGGGGGCATGAGGAACAGGTAACTAGTGACGGGGCCCTTCAGATATGAATGAAATCAAGCAATTAGTGTACCCTGGGTGCCCCCCCCACGCTTCACAAGCCGGCGTTGAAGGGGCCTGAAGAGAATATTTGGACACCTGTCAGCTTCCAGTTTCAGACAGACTTCCTGTTTTAATCGACGGCTAACGTGCCACAAGCCTGATCCTTGTTGCATTTTTCACCCATTCAAGTCAGGCCTTAGCAGATGTGTGTAGGCCTTTCTCTAAAAAGATGATATCTCGACCGCGGGGGTTGCTAAGTAGGTCACCGTGACCCCAGAAAAACGAAAAGCGACAGTAATAGCTAGTCGTCTCTCTGGCGCTAATTTGCCCTCGTTGGCTGCTCTACGCGCGAGTTGTCTTGGATTTCAAAGCACGTAGCGCCGCGACTTTGCTCTCCGTGGGGCTCCTTAAATAAAGCTGTCCAAACTACCTTTTGCCAGCAAAGTACTCAAAACATGAGTGTATAATGTATCCCCACTCTTCCTTGAATATTATTATTTTTTTTTACTTACCTACAGATTCCGCAAAAAAAAAAAAAAACTCCTTCTGCAGATGAATGCGAAAGAACCAAAATCATCAGAAGGAATTTGAAATTAATCCCATTTTGGGGCGCTTGTATATGTAATTCATAAATATTCAGTTTTCTATGACTGCCACTGAATATGCATGCACGCTTTTGAATATGCTAATTTGCAAAGGCCCATTTTGCCGGAGCCATTTCTCCAGCACGCCGCCGCTAGCTGCCAAACGCACGCGCGCAAAATGTAGGTGAAGCAGTAGCATTGCCCAGCGCCCGCTTGCCAGGAGTGGATTACCTCTGTCTCCTGCGTTGGCAGCTGAGATGTCTCATTCTGCCCCCGTTACAGCTCACCACCGTGTCACCACAGGCCTCAGATCACCATACGCTGCAAATCTTATTAATCATATAGGTCATATAACACTAAAGAATAGGAGTACAAGAGCCACGCCCCATCGTCACAGGCAAAGGCAGCTGGGATATTGGAGGACTCCCTGGCACACTTTGAGATTTTATTGCAGTCCGGTTGGGGTTAGACCGATTCCACTCCAGAGTGATGGTAACCCTCCCTCAAGCATCAGGTTTTTGAGTAGGTGGCTCAGGCTGGCTTTCATACCGGCACAAATTCTGCACGGTCGATTGCAAGCGAGGCACGTCGGCATTATGGCTCAGGAGTACGAGGCTTTGAGCTGAAAACCTGACATTATTCACCCACGCTAAAAAAAATGCTTTGTTATCTGTGTAGCAAATTTGTAACAGCAATAGGGAGGGAAGGATCGATACTACCAGATCGAGGGTTAGAAGAACAGCAGTATGACAAACCCAGGGCTCTGAAACGAATTGAATTGTGATTGATTCCTCCCCCCACCCCTTTAAAGTCTGTTATTAATTTATGATTGCTGTTTGAAGATGTACAGAAAAACCATGCTTCATTAAATAGACACTCATTTGGTCTGTTAATTGTTTAGCAATTCTGCCCGCAAAGTGAAATGAGGAACAAGCCCAGTGACAATGATTTGAGTCAGTCTGTTCTTAAAAGTCAAACGGAAGGGCCAGGCCCTGTTTGTGTGTGTGCTTGTCAGAGTGTGTGTGTGGCTGTCCTGCAGTTTATTATTGATTAATGCTTATTGTCCCTCTAACAGTAAACCTTTGGACTATGTTTAAAGCTGCTCAGAAGCTAGGAGGATATGAGCAGGTAAGAGTTTGCATCATCTGACTGAAACTTGAATCCTCTACTGCTATATGTGTGTTTTTTTTTCCTTTCCCCCTCTGGCTCTTGAAAAACAAGCTTAGTCATTTTCCCATTTTAGGCCCGCTGTCAGATGTGTGTTTACTAGGCCGATGTTGGACGACGGCTCCGATCCACATTCGGCGAAATGATGCAGTCATTGTAAAATCCACTAGTGGAAAACATATGTAGCTCTTCTCTGTAAAGGAGATTGGTGTGGAATGCATCTTACCCACGCTGAGTCTTTAAAAGCACTGCTATTGTGCAACAAACCACTGGGACAATAAAGAGATTTCACTTGGCAGGCCATATGACATGCATTGAGCTCTAATATGGGAAAAGCATTTGGGCCTCTTTCAGTTTAATCAGTTAAGGCTATTTCAAATACTGTAAATTACTCTAGTTTTGTTTATCAGTGGTGGGGGAAAAGGGTGAAAAGCTAGGAGAGCCGTTTGTATTCTGAGCAAACAGGAAGTCGTTTCTATGATATAGAGGGCCTCTTTCAAGCTCTCAATCGACACATTTATCGGCGATTTAACCTACTTTCAGTGTACAGGAAGTGCTATGGTTTTGCATATGCACTGTAGAAAAATTATTCACAAGTACAGCTCTGAGTTGAATTTCACTGCTTTAAATCATTCCCCAGTCAGCTCTAGCTTGTGCAAAAAAAAGGAAAAAACCCAGTCAAAGGCAGCTGACATCTGTAATAATAAAAAAAGAGTCAGCTTGCTGAGGAAGGTGGCGTCAGTGGAAATATTTACATTGCGAGGGTAGTGGGAGAGCGCGGTCTGAGTGTCGTACTCTTTCCGAAAGACCAGTAAAATCGGCTCTCTGATAATGACAGCAGGAATACGGTGAGCAAAATACATGTAAAGTCGAGTGACGTAGCCGGATCTGGGTAGCTCGATTTTTGCCGAAAGCTCGCTAGCTAGCTAGTGTGCGAGGATCCCTGGGATCTGCACTGCAAGCAGTACGGCGGGTTGATTTTTGCACTGTTATTTAAAGATGGCTGCATTTGATTATTTGCACATGGCTGGCCGCAGACGCTCGGCACGCAGCTTTGATCACTTCATTTATTAAATGCGTCGAAGCTGCCGCAGACTCCTTTTTTTTTTTTTAAACTGCAATTATGCTAAATTATGCCCGTCTGTATAATTAATGCATATCGATTTTTAAGGATTCATCAAAGGGCAGATAAACACGCCGTTTACATGGAATATACCGTGTGTTGTATTATGAATAAATTATGTAGCAAATGTACAGTTGATCTAGCTTGGAAGAACATAATTATTTGGCTCATTGAAGGAACGGTATGTTACTGCTGTTTAATAGTCGCTTTAGATTCATGGGAACAACAGAGCAACTTAATAAGGGGCCGAGATGGAATTAACCCCCCCGGTGCCAAATGTGGCTTTCGCCTGTGGTTGTTTAGCAGATGCATGTGTAATGATGGTGGTGTTGGTTCCTTTTGGGTCCCGTAATCCCTGTGACACTCTTTTTGTCACCGAAACCGTGGAAGTCTCCTCGGTTTAAAAAACACAGCTGATGTAATATAATGCAAAAGTCCTGCGAGTGCTGCGGTTGTGGCAGGAGGGGGGTCCGGAGCTTAGGCCTCGAGCATTTCCCGCATCCACTGCCCCCCTCCCCTGCCAAATGTAACCCAAAAGGGAACCAATGCCTCATCGCTCCCCAGTGTCCCTTTTCGCCCCGGTCACCTTCTCCCACCCTTTCTTGCCCCTCAGATCACCGCCCGCCGGCAGTGGAAGAACGTGTATGACGAGTTAGGGGGTAACCCTGGGAGCACCAGCGCGGCCACCTGCACGCGGCGCCATTATGAGAGGTACAGGCGCCCGCTCCCCTCCCCGTCCAGCAGTTAGCCGCCTTTAGCAGAGTTACCTATCGTCTGCCACGGTCCCACTGATGCCAAACCCAAACAGGGTTCAGCCGATGACTGAGCCCTATGTCAACCTAACCAGCACAATTTATTGCGCAAGTCCACCAAGCTGGAGATCCAGTCAAAATCTTGCTTCAAGCTAGGGAGCCAATCGAAATCTTGCTTCAAGTTAGGGAGCCAATCGAAATCTTGCCTCAAGCTAGGGAGCCAATCAAAATCTTTCTTCAAACTATAGAGCCAATCAAAATCTTGCTCCAAGCTTGGGAGCCAGTCAAAATCTGACTGATTCAATATATATCATTTTAAGGAAGTTGGAAGCTAATACAGTAATGCTGCCTGTTTAAGGGAAAGCCACATAAAGGAATGAACAAAGGTGGTTATTGTGCTGTTTGTAAATACAGTCCTGGCTTGTGTTTCCCAGAAAAAAATAAACTTTTTCTTCCTGTTTTTTATTGCTGAATAAATGAGTCAAACGTGACCTTTAAAAATAACCAAGACTGGAGTGTTTGAAGGGAAGGTGAAGATGTCCGTAGGGGTCTGGGGGAGGGGGAGGGGGGTGTGAGGCAGGTGAATCCAGTTAGCCTCACCCGCTGCTGGGCTCGTCTGGCCGTCCTCCAGCAGTAGGAGCCACGCTCCCGTGCGTCCCGCCGAATCGATGCGAAGCCCGAATGTTTTGGTGCAGTGAGCGGCACCCTGCCGAAAAGCTACCGGGACACCATTGAGTGAGACAGGAGACTCACCAGTGGGTGCATCTGTGTGTCTTTGTTGAAGGAGCTCCTTCTGGCCCAGTGTCGTCGATACAGCTGGTCTTGCCCTCGGCAGCCCGTGAAAGGCTGGTGCCCCCCTGCGAGGTTGGCTGTGTCACATGACTGGGCCGCGGCTAGCCAATCAGCTCGGTTCTTAGTCCCGGACTGGAAGTGCAGCAGTTGGTCAGCCTTGCCAAAAGGAAGCCCTCATCACAGACAAGACTGCAAGGAACTTAGTTTTGTAAAATAAGACAAAATGCCATTCAACTTTTTTTTTTTTAATCACCATTATTTTAATTTAGTTTTTTTTTTGTCCAAAACTAAAGCTTAAAGTATGTACAGACATATTGAGGGCATCTATTTAAACGATCCATTTCCTTTGTGGACCCTTTATACAGGGAATGATCTTTCTTATCCCTTCCCATAAATATGTCTTCTATAAATGTACCAGCTAGGGACGTTCATATTTCAGGTTAATTATCAGCATTTCAACTATAGTCATCTCATAGTTGCGGAAACCTTTGCTATTGCTATGCTTGCTATTGGAATTAACTTTTTTTTTTTACGCAGTCATCTTTAATTTAGGATGCTTAAAATAGTTATGTAACTGTTCTGTCCATTAAGGACAAAAATCAATATTTAACATCCACTAAGGTCCAAGCATCCTACTATAAATGCTTTTAAAGGTATTTATTTAACTGGCTCCTCAGATTAGCCATCAGCTGCGCAACACTTGGATTTCAAATTAGGCCATAAAAAATTACATTAATAACCTTGAAAGAGAATACATCATTCTTTCCCTTCCATATCCTGCTGTTTTTTAATTATATAGGTCAGTGCTATTGATCAGCCGAGACCTGTTATTTATTTAATCTTCTGGTTTACAGCATGAGCGCTTTTGTCTCTGAAATGCTCGGTTGTGAACGGCGTCTACAGATAGCACTGCCCAGACCTCATCCAGTGCTTATAATCAGTCACCGAAATGTGTTTGCATCTCGTAAAACACAGATCCATGGCAACGGCGTAATTTATAGTAATTTAGCTTATGAGTCTCACAAGTCGTGTTACGGAGACGCTCGACTTACTGCCGCATGTCACACTGACCATTCACTCCCACAGTCTCACGCACGCTAATTTAAGAGCGAGAGAGAGAGCAGTGGGAAAAAAATCATTTTAAAGAATAGTAACTTTAAATATACCATAATGCATAATTACAGTATTTATCTGTGTTTCCAAATTACCGACTGAAAGGAATGTCAAGTTAGAGCTGCATGGGTTGCGTTTCTATTGAAGGGAAAGAAAAAAAGCATCAATTCCTTCCAGTGCTTTATGGATTTTTGTATTCCCCTAGGAATTAATGTTTGCTCTAAATTCAGACAAGCCATGCTTCAGAGAACCCATCCTTGAACCTAGAGTGAATATGACAGATTTTAATGCAGGGCTTTTAAGTATATTTTAATGATCTAGTTTCAGAACCAGCGGTCCTTCACTGAGCATTACATCAGCTGCTTTCTCTCTTGGGAGATTATGGTCGTATTTGAGATTATGCTGTGCAGTAAATACAGAGGAAGGAACTGTTTGTTTAGCGGGCATGATTAACCAGTAGGATTATCAACCGGAGAATTTCACGTTATTCCTTGCCATATGGAGGTAATTTGACTGAGTGTACTTCAATAGAACAAGACTGTCATAATATATTCATAAACACTAGCAACGAAGCGTCGCACTAATGGTGAAATTATTTGTTGTAAGTTCGCTTGTTGCTGTCACTTTGTGGGTGTTCAGAGATGACAGGAAGCTAATTAAATCTCTGATTGATCTAATTAGTCTATCGCACTAATTTGCATGTAAATATGGGCCCTCGTTTGTCCTGCGACGATGCCATCGCTCTCACGTGACAGAATTGCCTCTTCAGATAACCTGGGCTGAAGATGATTAATCATATAGCAGTTTAGACATTTTCTAATTATTAACAAGGCCTCCGAGGTCTGTACCCTGTGCTGTCAGAAAAAGGACAGACCCAGAGTCTCCTGCTCGTAGTGCTTTGTTTCATCAATATGTTAAATTGGTTCATTCCAGTGCGGTAATAGATTTTTCATTCCTCAGCCAATAATGTCTAACTGACCCGCATTAAACATTTATAAAGGTTACAGTTTGCTTTCTTGGGAATGATTCCAGTCCTTCTGTATGCTCTGTTGTCCTGAGTTTCACTAATTGTCAGATTAACAATTCAGTTTCAGATTAACTTCATTTGGGAACAGATAATTATATCGTTAGTGTCTGCAATATTGACAGATGGAGTTATATATGCAAAGTTTATTTTTGCTTTATATGTCCGGAGTGCCATGATAAAAAAAAATACAAATGTTTATACAGGCCTAGTATAACATCTGTCTGTATGTTTGTGTATGCACAGGGTTTAAAGAGAGCTTCCATTGGTGTTATGTCTATAAAAGCGTCATACATCAAAAATCAGTCGAGAGGCTTGTTATTTCAGTGAAGCAGAACCTCATATCAGACAAATACACAAGAACATGGGTCTTGACGCATATTATTCAACACTTTTAATAATTAAAGTTAGCTTTTCACAAGTTAATGGATTGTCGCCTTTGGGAAATAGATGAGGTAATTCTATGTTCAGAAAGCCAAGCATGACAGAAAGCTTGGTATTGCGTACCCTCACGGTCCTGTTAAACAGCGGGAACCGCTTTTTGACAAACAGTTTAAAGGAGTGTCTGACGTCTTAGCAACCACACTTGCTAGGCTTCCCCTAAATACCTCTTTGCTTTATTTTGGTCGAACATTTGCTTTTCCACTGATCGAGCCCCGCTTGACGAAGCACTCAGAGTCATGTAGATTACAACCACCTGAGCTAAATCACAACTCACCAGAAGTGCTAATTAAAACTCTGCCTTGGTTTTCTCTGTTAGCAGCGGGATAGTGGGCCCCAGGCAGCGCTCCTGCTTCCATTATGTTCAATAACAGGCGTCCAGTTGTGTGTTTAACATTCATTTAGCATCGTGAACCCGCTAAACTGCCATCCATACCTATGTTTTAGTGTGGCTAAAGGCGTAATTTATGGGGGGACACGGAGCATTTCATCAGCAGAGAGTTACGAGGCAACGCCGCAAATGCTCCAGTGCACAAGTTGACTCTGTCTTTGCGAAGCGCCTTATTTATTTCTTTAAGATGTTCAATCGAAAACACGTTTCGTCAAATTAAGCTTTGGATCGTTTTCTGTTGAGACGGTCGTGTAGATAATAATAATTAAATACACAGCAATCCTATTGCGAACTCATGCAGCAAATTCATTATTAATAATTGCATTCGTGGTTGAAGTATAATGTCGTAGAGGATAAACAGGTTTAACAGAACGGTTTTATTGTATGGATTGTTATGATAACAGTCAGCTTTTGCAGACGAATGTATTTGCATACACTTCCTTTGTGCTTTTCTGCCTTTCAGTGGGCAGTGTGCCATCTTGTGATCAAGAAATAGTATTGCATTATTTAATTATAATTAAATTTAAAATAATGCTGTATAAAATGGTGGCAGTGTTTATTATGACCAGCATTGAGTCATTTCAATGGAATCGGAAAAATAGCGTTAACGATAGTTTATTATTAATGACATCAAGTCATTTCTATGGAAAACCATGGAAATGCCCATATTTGTAAGGTTATTGAGAAAATATAAGCTCCCCTTCAAATGCATGCTCATCAGATTATGCAATTGTTACATAAAACACACACAGGTACTGTTTTTGTGTACAGTCTTTCAAGGACAGTCTGTCAAACCTGGCTGGCTGGTTACTGTGCCCCATAATAGCATCGATTCTCTCTCCACCAGCACCAACTCCCCCCCCCCCCCCCCATCGTGTTATTTGAGGAAAGGGCCCTGCAAACAGGGCGTGCGTCTGGAAACAGGAGAAAGGTTAGACAACCCCAGGCCTGGTCCACTTCTACTCGCACTGCTCCTCCTGGCGTTCGTGGGCACCTCTACTGCAGGTGCGGGCTCTTACCCTGTCTCCTTGCAGATGGGGGGGCTGGCGGGGGGGGGGGGTGCAAAGACCATCGCCACGGTAACGACCCCTTCTGCAGGAAGACGGGCTTCCTTTGCACGGTGGTTACAACAGCTCTGCAGGGTGCAGCAGCATATATGCAAAATAAATAGGATATTGTTTGCTAGTTGCCACGATTGTAGCACCTTGGGCCGCAAGGAAACAACAGGACTTCTCTTTCCTCTCTCTCTCTCTTTCTCTCCCTCTCTTTCCCCCAACACGTGTTTTGCATTGCACAGTCAGCTGTGGGCACCGAACGCCCCTGCTTTTCCCTCCTGTTTGCCATCTTTGCACAACCTCGCCATATCTTTCTATTTGGAGCATCCCCCCCCCATGCAGGAGTGCAGAGCATTTAAAAAAAAAAAATCTACCTGGGCTCAGAATAAACACAGCACTCTGTATAATTATTGTGTTCTCTAAGTGAGATTATATAAAGGGACTCGCGTTTCGGAATTCTTATTATGGAAATGAATGTTATATAAGACGCACATTAGAAGCTCAGAGGAAGGAGACACTGCGGTGGAATCTTATTACCTTCTGAGCAGCTCTCCCTGTGGAGATCGGTGCAGAGGCCTGTGTGCACATAAAGGCAGTGTACACATACACAACGGCACGCAAGCGCCGCTCACCTTCATTTATATTTATTTATTTATTTTTCCTCAGCTGGACAACCATCTCCATAGTAACACCCCTATCCGCTAAAAGCGTGTCATTACTCACGGCCTGATTTGTGCATAGCAATTAAGTCGGAATTAATGACTGAGCGCATTACTTTTTTTTTTTTTTAAGACCTACACTTAACTGCATTTTTTAAATGAATTACAGACAAAGCTGTTTAGGCATTTTAATCAGATGAAATCTGTGACTTACACGGTAGAAAATTATGATAAGGTACGGAGCCCCCGTGGACTGGAGACCGACACGCGAATCTATGACTTGCGCTTGTGGGGTTGGTCGTCCTGGTTGAGCGCTTGAGTGGACACTGCCCTGGTTCTTATTGAAAAGGCCTTACTCATGCTGACTTGGCATTTGTCCCTTCGGATACAGATACAGTTCTGCTTCTCTACCTTGACCCTTCTCCCATTAACCCTTCGCTGCACCATATTTTACTTCCCCTGCATTCTGTGGTTCTACTTCAGCTTCATTGCCTCGGTCATTGCCTCTGCCTCGGTCATTGCCTCTGCCTCGGTCATTGCCTCTGTCATTGCCTCTGGAATGCGCTTGCGTGTACATGCATGTGCGATTGTGTACTTCAATGACACACGACCACTGCTACAGAACTGGCCTCCCAACCTTGCTTGCAGAGGAGGTGAGATTACAATAAGTGAATTTCAGCAGGGCAGCTGCGAGGTATCAAGACTTATTAAAATAAGCGCACGCATCCTGCACTAGAGTGGGTTGCGCCAGGCCAGCTCTGCTCTTAAGTGTGCGAGCTAGGACCAAATGGCAGCGTAATATATTTATCTGGCCTAAAAATGAACCTACATTGTCAGTGTCGTTTAAATAGAGAACTTAAAATAACTTAGCAGGTTTTTGATTACAGATGGTTTCTCAGCTATGGTCTGGCCATTCTGGAACACAGGAGTTATGCATTAAGCTCTCGATATGCCAAGCACTCCTTACCCACACTGTAGAACTTCGTATGCATTTCAGGATTTAAAGATGCATGCTGTCATTTAGAAAGAAATGTCTACATTTTGATGATATCTCAGAAGTGGGAACAGACAGTTGCTTATTTCCTTAAGAAGTGTAACTGATTTTTTTTTTTTGCTCCAAAAATAAACACAATATAATTCCTAATTGAGTCTGCAGCCATGCTGTAATTGCTAATAGTCTGTGACTTGGTGCAAATAGAAATGTACTGTTATGTAGGGGGATGCAATAAATCGTGCTGAGGAGGGTGTTAGCTGGAAGGGGCCAGGAGGAATAAAGTCACATTCTGTTTTTTTTTTCTTTTTTTTTGGCCATTTCAGTCTGCACCCCTGTGTGGAAAGGCATAGTAAATGGATGGTAGCGTATAGGAACCTGGGCTATCTTTCGTAGCCTGGAGCGTGTTCACATTAGGACAGGCGTCCTGCTTATGGTTCATTACCCAAGCACACGTGCTCAAAGTTTTAGGCTAGATGTGCATTTCCCTAGAAATCGAGAAGTGTGTGTGTGTTTATTTATTTTGAGAAAGTGCCTAATGGTCTCCTGCAACATGCCCTTCCTTCTTCCCTTTCTTGTTTCTTCTCTATTTCTCTCTCTCTTTCCCTCTCATAAAGGAACATTTAATTGCACATTTCCTGTTCTTGGCACAGACCTTCGTCCAGCTGTATGGAATGTAGTTATATTGCTGTCAACTGGCCAGTTGCTAAGCTGAATGAAAAATAACAAAAAATTATAATCATACACGCCCAGTTGAGCTCTTAAAAGTGTGTCTGTGTGTGTATATATATATAAATATATATATACACACACAAGACTGCTAGTAAATAATTTTCACCCATATTTATTTTCTTTTTAAACTTAAGCAGAACAGAGCTGTATCTTGTTTTGCCCATAAAAGGAAATATGGTAAGAACGATACGAATGTTTTTTTAGCTGCCCATGAACGTCTCGCCTTCCGTCTATGAGCGATTTCCAGTCTTATGGAAGTAATCAGTAAAAATAAAAGCATATTCAGAACAACTAAATTGAACGACAACATCTGATGTCAATCTCTGGCTAAAACATCAAAACCTAAGGTCAGAGAGCTATGCCTGCCGTTACATTTAACTATAAAAGGGCAATCGTAAAACATGGGTCAGAAAAACTCAGGTTTGCAAAACATGCACGCTTTGCTGCAAACTTTCAGATTTCAGAGGATTAGTTAGGAACAAGATAAATCATTGTACGTATTATTATGCTTTCATTATATAAACATGAACTGAAACATTACAGTGGGAATCAGGTATTTGGCAGCCGCACGCTATTTTGATTTCACTGCATACAGCGAACGTTTTCCAGTTTTAGCAGCTGTAACATGTTTAAACTTTTGGTAATGGGATCTAAAGATGAATGTTCCCTCTGGGCTCCTGCTTAGCTCCATGATTGGAGGGCTGCCAGGCCTGAACCGGCCAATGGTTTTCCACCGCGCTTCCTCGCGCCCGCTCTGGCCGCGCATGCTTAGTGCAGGCTCTACTCTTCAGCGGTGGTAGTCGGTTGGGAGCCGCCGTTGAATAAATACAGGGAAAGGGCGAAAGTGGTGGCAATTAAACAGTCTTCTGATGTCACAGCATCTAGGAACTGCGTGTGGTTGGGTGTATTGGTGAGAATGGTGACTGGGCGGGGCAAATAAAGAGCCAAATAATTAATTACAGCTTTTGTCACAGTTCTTTTAAGCAGCTCATAAAATGTTCTGTCCTGATATTTATGCCGTTTCTCATTTCCACATTCTGTTTTTTTCCACTGTGTCTTTTACTGTGGAGGTAGTATTTATAATTCAGCGTGCCTCGGATACTTCCCACTGTGACTCATTAATCACACAAATCACATTATGAAAACTCCTATCCGCTGGAGCAGAAAGTGCGATTTCAGCGAAATATATCCCGTCCAATTACCATCTCCGTATCAGGGGTCTGCATCGAGAATGTGCAATAAAATAAATTAGAAAGAAAAGTATCTTCATGCGTTCAATTAGATTCAAGCAGAGTAAAAAAATAATAATGTTATTTGAAATGGAGTGGTGCGTGTTTGAAGGTTTATTTACAGTATTATACCCAGAGTTCTTCAGACGTTGCCGCTTAGGCTGGTTTCATAAGCTCTGCTTCCCAGGGAGAATTGATCTGGATGTTGTAACGTGGGGCACACATCGGGGGTACAGAGCAGATTTATATCATCAGCTGCCGAGAGCAGAAATGCTTTTAATTAGATTTGAGTGCATTGTCTCCCATCTGTATACATCTTTGTTTAAAGCAAATGAGCGCCTATGGATCCATTTGCATTATATGCAGGCAGACGTTTACTGATGCACATGCAGAAACTTTTAGATAATTAAAATATGCATGAAAATGTAGAATGCAGTTTTCTATAAGTTGTTTTCATCTTTAATTGATTTAAAAATACTGTACGTAATTAAAAGAAACATTTGGATTGTACCGTGTGGTAGCAGAGATTGGATATCAAGTGAGATTATAGAACAGTGAAAGGTCTGCATGTGCAGTATATTACAGTTGTGGGTACGCTGGTTTTCTGGACCATGCTGTGACATATGGGCCCCTGTTGTTCACCTGTGTCCCTCTCCAATCCCCCCCCCCCCCCCTCCTCACCCAGACTCATCCTACCCTATGAGAGGTACACCAAAGGAGAGGAAGACAAGCCCCTACCCCCGGTCAAGCCCAGAAAACAGGAGGCCGGCGCTCAGGAGGGGGGCATTAGGACAAAGGTGGCTGTGGTGAAGCGTCCCAAAGATGAACAAAACCACAAGGGCAGAACTGAAAAGGACGCCTTAGTGAAAGCCCCTGTACCCTCCCAGGTCAGTCACACATGAAGTCCTTTGGTTCCACATAGCCAAGAACCTCTCTGCGCTTTGGGAAGAGAAAAAGAAGAAAAAGAAACATGACAGCCCACTTTAGGCAGGGAACCTTCTTTATTTAACAAATAAGCTGTCAAAGTCCCAGAAGAACAGGGCTGTCAGAAGAGGCTAGTTTTAACATAATTATTTTAGCCTGAATGGAGGTTCTAACTGCCTCTCCAGTGACGGGTAGATATGTGAGTGTTTTTCGCCATGGTAACTGCAATAGTTTTTTTTATATATATATATATATATATATATATATATATACTGTTTTCCTGTTTTAGTCGTAATATTTTTTCCTTCTGCTCTGGGCGTGCCTCCTGTGCCGCCCTGCTCAGATCACGTGGACGTCACGTCCGTTACAAGCGGCCGCACTCCGTTCACCGTGGACCAGGACGAGCGGGTGGTTGCCATGAAAAAGCGTTTCTGAGCATATTTGATGGGCTATTGTGCGGAGAATGAAAAGATGCCATGTTCTGTTCTTACATAAGCCCCGCGTGCTATTTTTATCTCCACCCCATAAAAAAAAAACAATAAATCCTTGGTGATTTGCAAATGTCTCTCCAGTTAAGCATAAATAGGGGGGAAAAAAAAGAATACGGCACTGGAAGGAAAAGAAAATTGAGTTATTATTTTTCCATGAATAACCAATGATTACAAAAGAGTTGAAAAGGCCTTTTGAATTCTCTCCTGAAGTGTCAAATTTAGACACATTTTAGAACAGCTACAAGGCATATATTAATTTCTGCAGTGCATGAAATGAATAATAGGGCTATAGTGTGGAAACAAAGAGGACTGTTGTAAGGCCTGACGAGTTTTCCAGTGACATGCCTGCCTCATCGCTCTGGTATTTTCAGTAATTTGAAAGCCTCTTGAGATAATTGATTGTACATGGTAAGTACAAAATGTAAATGTACTATTCAGTTAGAGGAAGACAAAAAACACAGAGGGGGTTTAAAAACTCCAAACCAAAGCACTTAACAAACATTCCCTCTGTCGGATGAGAGTGCATTTTAAGAACGTTAAAAATGTTAATTTTGCTTTATGGTCATACTGTGTACAGCACATGGACATGTTGTCTGTAGAGAATTACGACATAGTAAGTGAAGTTCATATATTTTGAGTAGAGTTAGACAGCTGTGAGTCTTGAGTGATACATTCATTGCCAACAACCAGACACACCCCATTAGTGGTGTATAACTATATCTACTAGTCACCAGGCACTAAAAGCCTACAGCTTGTGAGAGAGTATCAACAAACATGAAAGGTCTTGTCATTCCAGTGTGGTGCAAGCCAAGCCCTAATGTGACACGGGGGGTCAGATCTTGCCAGCCACACAAAGACCACAGCTGCAGCACAGAAACATTATATGTGACAAAACAGGGGATTTCATTTTCATACTTAAAGAAAAATCACAATCAGCGTAACACTACATATTGTGCATGGATGTTTCCTGTTATTTGAGGATGTTGTTACACCTGTTTTTTTGCCAAGGAAATTCCTCTTTGGTGATGGTTACAAGCCCAGAGAATGTAAGGAACAAAATTTAAGAAGAGATACTTTTTAAAACATCTGTCAAGCTTCCGTATCAGGGATTATGAATAGGCAGGCTGGCAGTCTGCTTTGAAATGTTTGAAAATGCCATTTTGTATCCTGTCGCTGGACGCAGTTTATGTCAAACCTTAAAGTATATAGAATAAACTTGTCAGAAAGGCCAAAGCAGCGCTCAGATCTCAGGTTTTTAGCTTGAAGTATGCAAATAAATAGACCGATTATGATTATTGGTTGGAAATTCAATCTAATCTTCAATCCAGATGTCATTTGGGGCAGCTTTTTATTTTAAGAGAACAGACGTAATTCCTGTTTGGCAAGTACTGTTTTCTCAACTTACCCCTGGTGTACTTAACACTCAAGTCATCTGTCACCAGTGGATATTCAATATAACTTCTTAAGCAGTGATTGCTTTGATGTTAGCCATTTGCAAATATGGTTCCCAGTGAAGGATGTGACTCTCTGGGGTCAGGTTTAGTTAAGTACATTTGACTTGAATCATCTGTTTGGAGGATTATTTACGTTAACTTTGACAGTGGGGTGACTATATTTGCTTGTGCAAGTCATTGAGTAGTATCTCAAGCTCTCAGTGACTAACATAACTCTTTGTGGTTGCAGGCATCTGACGACAAAGAGGAGAGTCAAGAAGAATGCGTTGAACTGAAGCCAGAGACCCAGCACCTTGCCAAGGAGGAGGTCAAGTCTGGAGAGGAGGAGGAAGATGAGGAAGAGGAGTTGCAACTCACTGTGAAAGAAGAAGCTTTGAGCAGCAATGCACGGGAGAAGCCATTGCTTTGTACGCCACCCTGGGAAAATGTCCAGGCTGACCGTGTCACCAAGGACATATTATCCTCGTCTCAGCCGTCAGCCAAGCACCCCGAAATCTTGGATAATCTCAGCCCCAAGTTGCCGGAAGAGACAGACGATAGGTTCTTAAAGGCAACTCCCAAGCCATTACCCATGACATGCGCACAGGAGCTGCAGAATGGTGTGTTGGACCATGCTGCTCCCTGTTCTGTGGGCAAGGTGGATCCCCTCGTGAATAAGGAGACCCAAAGTCACGTCGGCATGGTGCTACCCACCTTGAAGCAGAAGCCACCCCAGAGCTTCTCATTTCCGGAAATTGCTCAAGCGAAGGGGGAGCTCTCCAGCAAGGACGAGTCCTCTTTTAACTACACCCCAATTGCGTATCCAAGGGGAAACTCCGGTATTATGTCTCCGTTGGCTAAAAAGAAGTTTTTGTCTCAGGTCAGTGGGACCGCCTTGCCCAATAACTATTCTTTTGGTGCACCTCCACCATTAATCAACACAAAATGCACAAGCAGCAGCACTGAGGACACTCCTGCTCTACAGAGCCCACTGGGGTCCAACACAGAGACTGTGGTGATCAACAGACCATCTGTCATCCAGCACGCTCAGAGCTTCAAGGCACGGACCATGGAGGAGAGAAGACCTTCAGGCGAAGCCTTGCCTCGTGACCCAAGCGGGAAGTCAGAGCCGTTCACATGTGAGGTTGCCCATCCTCAGGCCAGCTCCGTGGTAGAACCATTTCTATTGAGACCCGAGCTCCGAGACGACGTCGAGAAGTTGTCAGAGAAGCAGGTGCTGCGGCCCACCAAGGTGCCAAGCTTCCTGAACGAATTCTACTCTTCCCCTCACTTGCACAGCCTCTACCGACAGACTGAGCACCACCTGAGCAAGGATCAGCTGACCAAGTATTTGAGCAGAGAAACGCTGTTTCGAGACTGTGACGCTGTTCAGGGATTCCCTCCCAGCAGCCCTGACAATATTGCTTTGACTTATAGCACTCATTTGAGTCAAAAGGAAAAGGTTTCTCCAAGAGAACGTCCATCAGAAGACCAGCCAACAGATCTGAGTCTTCCTAAATCCACGTCACAGACTCTGGCCCCCTCCAAGTCCTCTCTGTGTGGGTTACCCCATTCTGTAATCCAACAAGAGGTGAAGACCAATCCCCCTCCCTTTCAGGTGGCCAACAATCAGACCTCAAATATTGACTTTCATCCCAGGGCTTGCCGTGTTCCTCCCATGACTATGACCCCCCCTAAAAAGGGTATAGACCTTCCCCCTAGAAGTGCGGGGAATACGCAGAATGGATGCGGGGAGGACATCATAGGTTACAAGATGGAGGAGATGGTACGGCCCATTCTGAGTGCCAAAAGCAGCCCACAGAACGTCGGCGCTGCCCGGCCACTGAAGAGGAATCTGGAGGAGCTGGAGAACGGGCCTCCAGAGAAGAAGATCCGGGCCGTGACGCCCATGCACTCGGTGAAGGACGCCGCCGGCAAAGCCAAGACACACGACCTAGAAGCTGAGGGGATAAAGCCTGTGGAGCCGGCACACGCCATGCACATCAGCAGCTATATGGAGAGCCACAAGTTCCCCGTTCATTCCCCCATCTTCCCAGCACTGTACCCCGGAGCGTTTGTATCTCAGGTGCAGGATGTGTGTGAGGGCCTGGGCGCTCACATCCCGGCTGGCTACTCGCACCCGCTGCAGTACTTCAAGAACCAGGCCGTCATCTCTCCACTGGTACCCCCGTTCGCCATCCATTCCTTCATGATGCGCCGGCAGCTACTCGCCTCCGCCGCCAATCCGCCACACCTGTACAGGCACCCCGTGGGAACCTCTTACGGAGACCTCTTGCACCATGGTTTGTACCCAGTGTCTGCCCTGAACGCCCAGCCCGCGTTCAGCCCACCCCAGCTGCCCTCTGTGCACCCCAGCACCAAACTCTCATGAGCGAGCCATCCTGGCGATCCCGTCGGCTAAGCGGCGTGGCATTTTCCCTTCCTCACAAGTGGGTTGCACGTACCCCCATCTCCCCACCCTCCGGAGCATGGTCTAGGCAACCGACAGCTGGCAGTTAATGACTGAAGACGCTTGAGACTGGGAACGGTCCCCCTATTGCACCTGATTTTGCCACTGACGCTTCATGATTTGCACATCTCTTCGATTATATGGGCCGACCAGGCTGATCGTGTCTCATCCTGGCAACGCCAGTTGTAGATCTAGTCTTTCCTTCTCGTTTTGAAAACTGTGGAGGCTGCAGAGGCTCCGGGCAGAAGAATTTATAGCTCGGATCATATGGCTGCATATCCAAAGTATAAAACAAGTTGTGTGACAAATCAATGCAATGCACAGTGCAGTTTCATTACAATGGGAAATGGGATTTCTCCTTTCAAACACTATGAAACATTAAAGAACACTGTTACTGCAAACTATAACCAAGGTTTACTGTTGGAAAAGTTCAATAGTCATTTAAATATTATTCCTTATTGTATTTTTTTTATTTAATTGTAGATCTGCAGTGGTAGTTTGCAAATTCATTTCAAACCTCCAGGGGTCACTGTTAGAGACTACATACTGTTGAATGCAACCATGTTTGCAGTATATTATTTTGTTCAGTGTAAATAAAAAACAGAGCTGTTTACTATCAGGAATCTCCAATTTCAGTGGTAAAATGTGAAGAGCTTTTCACAGAATGTTTAATCCCCTTTTCAAGTATTCCCAAAAGCCTCCCCCATACGTAGCTGACTGTCTCTACCAGAATGATGTTATATTAAGTTTGTTAATTGTAAGGACTGAGGTGTTTGTACATACTAAAACAAAATTATTGCAGCATTTTTTTTTCTATTCTGTTCACTAGCTACTGTAATTTCTGACCACTCTGAATTAAAAACGACAATGTGGTCAGATGTTTTTTCGTGTGAAAAAGAAGTGCAATGTAATGGACTACTCGGAGTCAGATGCTGTTTTTTTTCCTGCAGGTGCAAGTTTTTTGTTCCTATTTTTTTTCCCAGAAGACAATTCAGGAACTACGCCACCATCGAACGATTTCACCAGAAAAATGTTAAAGACTATGGTTCGTCCTAAGAGCACTTAAACAAGCCAGGTTTTCTTTCAAGGAGCAAGCTGAGATTCTGAATATGGTAATAATAGCGGATGAGGGGGCGGGCTTTACATCATGACAGCAGTCAATGGCAACTGGTTTTAATGTAATGTAATAAAACGTAATTTGGAAAATACTTGTCAGCAGTGATAAGTACTAATGGCATATGTAACTCATATGTAACTCATATGTAACTCATATGTAACTCTTTTGCACAAAAGATTTGGGTAAAAAAAAAAATGTCTAAGTCAACATGATTGAAAATCTCCTGTTGTCAGGAGTAATTTGATTTAATGTGTCAGTGGGCTGGGGGTAGAGGGGGTATATAATAGTTAAAGTGTATTTTCTCCAGAGTTTTTGGAGTAACACTCAAGGTTGCTATGTAATATTTTTTAAAACGAGTAATAAACTGTTTTATAAGCATAACAAGGCTGCAGTCTCTCCAGTTTGCACTGCATTTGCTATGGTTGCACGTGACCTCAAAAAAAACAAAACATTGATATTCCTGGAGATCATGTGGACGTGATATATTTAATTCGAAACAATCAATATAAACATTATGAAATCGGGTTTGCCCCATTTCTGCTTCGAAAGGTTGGTGCCTTTTAATATTTGTTATATGAATTGTTGAACAGATTACATATAAACAGAACAAATTAGATGCAACAGAATGTTGAAGTAGAGACAATTGGATCTCGGAATTCACACTCGTTCTATATTTTATCAGAAATATGTTACACTGGGAATTGTGACGGGGGGTGGGGGGGTGTACCTGGCCTGATGTTTTTACAGTATGCACGTACACAGAGAAATTAATCACTGCTGGGCTATTTTACTAGGCCACACACTCTAAGGATGGGGGGAGATCTGGTCTAGCTCACAACATTCATTATGATTGTGATGCATGCTGGGAATTTTCTTGCCCCATAATTACAATGTTTGCCAGGAGTTCTCTGGGACCCCCTTTGCCGTACGACGTTGTTGTAGTCGCTTGTGACCAGGGGTTAAAGTTCATTCTCTGCTGTTCAAGCTCCCATAACACAAACTTGTTTACTGATGTGTAATATCCCTCTGTCTGTATTTTTGTAAATAATGTACACTTCTGTTAGTCATATTTAGCCTTTGATATTATTTTATTATTTTGTGTATCTGTACATAGTAAAAGTCGTTTTGGTAACACTATTTAGTTCTGTTTTAAGGTTATTAGGTTTGAAACACTACATTTATGAATGAGCCAATTATTCACACTCAGTTTGCTGGTTTTGTATTTTATGTTTCCAGGCTGTTCTTCTTGAGACGCTTTTGATACTATGTTCCATTAGCATCCCGATCACATAGCTGGCGAAATATTTTGTACTTTATGATCCACTGTATATTTAATTAAAATATTTTACTACCTAACTTCAATGTGTTTTCACTCAGCAGTGGGATGCTGCACCATCGCTCTTGGTCTTTGTAGATATTTACAGCTCTGGAGACCTGTTTAAGCTCACGCAGATGGCTTAACCGCGGAGGGGGTCTCAGCCGTCCCAAAACGCCACCGCGGATCGTAAGTGTGGCACTTTCCAGCAATCGCGGCTAAGCACGAGAGCCGCACTGCGTTAAATTAAAACTGGCCTCTTTCCTACTTAGTAGAGTAGTCTGACTGCCTTGCTTCCAACCCCCCGCCCCGCGCCCACCCCCAAATGGCTTAGTCCATTAAAGTGTTAGGACCACAGGAACTAATTTTGCACAGACTGCAGGAATGTACTGAAACAGAACCAGGAAGCAATCTTCGTTATTTGGGGGAAAAAGAAAGATACTGAACAAGCAATGTTGTTTTTCTGATTGTTCAAATGCACATTTAATGGTGACGCTAATTGATCATTTTAGGGCCTCTAGCATAAAGATTATCTATATCAGTCCTTATTGCCTGTCAGTGTGCAGCTTGACCAATCCTTGTGCTTATATGGCTTATGCATGTACACAAAATATGCTGTTATATGTTTATACTGGCATGCTGTCTAGGGAGCCCCCTATCTCACGCCCTGTTCTGTCTGGGATTGGCTGCTGGCTCAGTGAGACCCTGTACTAGACAAGCAGTTAGTGAAGATGGATGGATATCGGCAATATTATATATAGACGTACAATGCATTGTGCGGAATTGAGGCCACAATGCATGGTGTGTTTAATTCTAGCCACAGATCTGCGTGTGGACTATTTAAATGATTTCACCCAAGAGTCCAGAGGCAAATCTGTGTCTCTAAATCTCCCTTAGTGTGCGTGGTGGTGTGTGCTTGTGTGGGAGTGTTTTGCACCGGTTTAAAAAAGTGGAGAGACCAAATGGATGGACACACATATCCACCAAAGCAGCTGGTGAATTTGTGGATCTATGTTTTTTTTTATCATTATTATTTAATTTTTCATTTACTATCGATTCGCATCTGATAATGACTGCTTTTACTTCCGTGTTTGCTAACGTCCGTTTGCAGGCATATTATTGGAGTGTTTTGGGAACCGTGAGTACAATTCATCTAGGAAATTAATTTTAAATGAAAGTGATTCAGCCGTGACTTGATTAACAGCCCGCAATGACTGTTTTACTCTCTGCGGTGCTGTCATTTTTCACTTGGAGCCCAGTGCCTGAGTCATTCGTACATAGCTCCTTTTTTAGACATTATCTTTTATTATCCTGGAGCAAACATAAATGCTTTGTTCTCCGGTTTTCCCTTTAACATCAACCCCCCCCCCACCCCCCCCAATTCCCAATAATATTTAGTTAAAAATAAAACACAGGCCAGTGCTATGAAAATGAGAAGGCAGTAGTTTGTATGAATGGAATGCTAAATCTGAAGAACAGACAGCGAGCCTGTCGCTCTACCCCTGCAACCCCGCTCTGCAGGCTCGCAAGAGCTCCCCCTGCTGTCCACACCTGACTACTACAGTCATATAGTCACGCATCCCTGGCAGCCAAACGCTATCTGTTCTGGCCAAGACTGGCCAAATGGAGTACAGCGTCTGAAATGGGCAGGGTGTATTTTTAGCGAGTGATGTCATTTATTAAGGCGGCCATGGATGATTGTATCAGCATGTGACCAAAGGGGCCAAAGCATAGCATGAGAGTAGGGATGTGAAATGGTGCAGCGCAACGATCCACTATAATCTCACTCAGCTCCCAGGACACCGGCACCGGCAGCTCAACTTATTCACACTGAATATTAACCTTGTATTTTTTTTACTGTTTTTTTATTTGTTTTTCATACACTGTGTTGAATTTACTATCACCTTCCCCGCTTTCTTCCTGGAATTATTATCGGTTTCCGGAAAGCTTGATCTACAAAAAGAATTACCACAGGAATGTGGTTCTTGGCAGATTCGCCCCCCTCCCCTCCTACCCCCACTCACCCACCCATACTTCAGTCCTCTTAATCTTCCCGGGATATTATTATTGGACGAGCGATGTCAGCACAGTGTGTTTTTTTTTTTTTTTTTTTTTTTAAACCCGTTTTATTGTGAATCCAGAATTATGTTTGTGCTTCTGGCCGGCTGATATTTATTTGCCTGGCAGATGTCATGTTTGCTTGCTTTCTTAGCCATTTACCCTGTTTGCCCCCTGGCACAGAGCATTTTACTACAGTAATTCACTTAAATATCCAGGTACAATAGTTAGCCAGCCAGCTGGTCCTGTGTTTCCTTGTTTTTCTTTTAATTTTTATTTTTTTTTTACCAAAAGTTGGCTACTCTGAAGACGACTCTGTTTTGCAGCCAGGTAGTTCTTAATATCAGGTCTCGATGAGATAATTTGGAAACAATGGAGACATAAATTCCTTGTCTAAAGCCATTTTTTGTTGTTGATCCTGGACACTCACTGCATTGTTCATTGTTTCAGGTAACCTCAGTGATTGGTCTTGGTTACCCTGTTGAACCGGTTCTGAACCAGTTCTGATAAAGTTTGGGTCCGCTTTATGAAGGAAACCCGAGAACCGTGTTAAAAACACACACAAACACAAAAGATGTGTTCAGCCTGAAGGAACTATATTGTATACTACATAGATACAGACGATCCTTTAACCTAGTTTTACTTGCACTGCTGTGCAAATAATGATTGTTCAATGTTCAAGTGAATAGGAAAGTAGCTGGATTGGAAGAACAGAAAATAAAATCCAGTCAGTCCTCAGCTCAGCTTGACGAAACCACAGTGTGGCGTTCTGCCAGGAAAAACAGCTATACAGGATGGACCAGATGTGTTATGTATGAAAATAAGATTTTAAAAAGCTGATTAATTCCACAAGAGCAATGCTGGAAATCAGAGAAAGTGCACTTTGCGCAATTTCCCAGTATGGCAATTGTCTTTTCATTGTTAGAGCGCCGAACTATTAATCATGTTAATCTTTCATAGGAACGCTATCTTGTAAAAACAGGCTTGTGATTTCTGTTTGCTGAAGTGCTGAATGTTACAAGCCGAAATGAAAGCGAAATTACAAAATAAATGTTTGACGCATGGAGAGATAATAACAGCAAACGCACTCAGGAATCCTGAAGATTTTACTTCTGCGCAGGATCAACAAAGAACATCGTCAGACGAAAGTGTCATTTTAATGTGGCAGATATAGTGGTTTGTATATGTTGTTTAAAGGTTAGACTCTGAGGCTTACAGTTTGAGGCCTTTGTTATGCAGCAAAGCTGAAAACCCAGCGATGAAACTTAATTGTTGTGAGCGGGCTGTACGCCTTTGGACAATCCTACCCCCTGAAGGATTTTTCCTGTGCCTGCTAGGAAACCAGATGGTGCATTTATGACCTCTCCTTCTAGGTGACAGTGCTCTTGGAGTTGGGTTAGCCTCTGTCACTGGATGATGACATCACACTCTTCTGCTGTGCCATGGGCTAATGTTTCTCAGCCACTGGACTCCAGTGAGGAGGCTCTGCTGCTTCTCAATCAATCTGTGGTTTTGAGAATCACTGATGAGGTTCTACATGTAGGTAAGTAGGAGGTTCCCCATGTTCCTCATGCAACGGTAAACTACACAATCACTTCCTGGGTAACCTGCACCAAAAATCAGATCCACATAATGTATATTATACCTCAGGCTCAGTGCTTATGTAGTCGAAACATGTCGGAGTACTGACCCTCTAGATCATTGAAATTCAGAGGCTCTCTGTCGCCCTAGCAGTGGATTTGCAGGTTAACTGGGGCGATAAGAGTGGAACAAGCTCACCAAGACCCTTGTGGGTGGCACAGCATTAAGAAAAGTTATGGCATTCCCTCCCCCCCCACCAACGCTGAAACTTCAGCCTCAGAGTCCATGAGCTTTATGCAGCAGTGTTGTCAGTAATGTTAGCTGTGAATCTAAGTGAGCATCAGAATGTTAACTCTCATGCCAAGACCTCAGTGAGACATTAGCTCATCCAACCTGGAGAAATATAGTCAGAAAACATAGAATTTTAACCCTAGGGCAACCTATGGCTGTAAAGTGGCACATATCCCAGAATGCACTGGGTACAACGTAGGGTATCAGATCTTGGGTCATTCCAACGCTTACATCTGTGCATAAACACAACCACGTGTCCATAGCTGCAATATAGAGCTGCATGTATGTAGAACATACAGCAAACTCATATCAACCTAACCCTAGCAGAACCTGAACTCATATAGGAATTTGATACCTTTTTCATTTGCAGAAGTACGGATACACTGGAATTCTTCTCCTCGTCTGCCCCATCTTGCTCTCCGTAGCTTGAGGGTCACAGTGTGGGGTCAACCAATGTGTGGTGCCCCTGGAGCTGGGGGTTAAGGGCCTTGCTCAAGGCTCACGGACAGGTGACTGTTCTGCCGAGGTCAGGGGTCAAATCACCATCGCAGGCACAGAGACCTAGCCCGCTGAGTCACTCACCGCCCCCTGCAACCCTGAAGGTGTGAAAGAACAATGTTATTTGCAGACCCCCAACTTCAGAAAATTAAGCCACATCATAAACATCACTTGCTCCAGATCTGCAAGTCATCCAAAAAGAAACCATTGTTACAAAAAAATTCTGGAATAACAGAAAACGTGGCTGAATATTGCCTTGTATTTTTGTTGTTTGTGGCCCATGAAATAGGGATTCTATTCACCGAAAGTTTTAGATTCTTCTCTGTGAGATTCTTTCATAGCTGACCCTTTGAATAAGACTGTCGATTGATATGCTTTCTTATGGCTCACTACACCCAGCGCCAAAATTTTCATTTCCTGCCGTCAGGACATCAAAGGACACTTAGAACTTCGACTGTTTGTCCTGCGTAATCCTCCCGGTTGTTGTCTAAGCTGCACACCCCTCCATCTCTTTCTTTGATATATAAAGTTAACAGGTTTGACATACTGCACAGCTATATGGCCCCAGACATATACGATTCCCATACCTCACCATAAAAAAAAAACTGCAAGT